CAAAGTTTGTGTTTTCCATTCTTTAAGCACCGTTTAAGCACCGGCACCGTTTCAAAAGTACCGGTTTGGCACCGGTATCGGATAAAACCTAAACGATACCCATCCCTAGAGGCAACAGTGCTAACCACCGTGCTGCCCCAAAGCCTAGATACAACTGCTTATTGTGTATGGTCAACATACTATAGATGCTGTACCATAGAGCGCTAGTTAAGAGAGCTATTGCAGTCTTACGCCTCAGTTTACTTATTTAGAGGTTCCCATCACAGAGATGGTCTGCTGGGCCTGTGTCAGTGCTGGGTGGCAATAAATTAGTTAGAGGTCAACTTTTACAAAAATCTTCTAAATGCAATAATTTGAGAACAAGGTGATGTAGGTGGTGTTTTGAAATTGATACCATAGATTTATCTGCTAAGAGGGTGATGGGTACCACTCACCACAGACAGTATTTTATAAGTTGCTATTGGTGCATAAAGGTTAAAGAGGGGTCATTTTAGCCCATTTGGTACATGACTGCCAGGCAACATGATGATCTCATGATATCTGAAAAAACTCCAGGGGCCTCAGATGTGCAGAGATGTGCCAAGTTTTGCTTTTGCTGAACTCCTGATTGTAGAGGAGGAATTTGTGGACAAACAGATAGAGATTAGGTATATTTTAGTAAGATAAGATTAATATCTGCAACAACATTTCAAAGTCACTTGACTAGCAGCACATATGCCTTTTTGTCAAGCTACAAATTGTGACCACCATTAAGGTGTGTGAGCAGTATGCTACATGTAAAAACAGATGTTCTTAGTGTTAAAAATGAACATAAATGGGAATGTTTTGCTTCGTTAGTGAAATCATTACAAAAGAAAAGCAACCTTTCTGTTGCAAGTCCCACATAACAGCATGAAGAGATCATAGGGGATTTATCGGTCGCTTTTATTTAAAAGGAAGTGTTATTGCGTCACATATTTATGGATTGACACAGCAGTAATCCTCAACTATTACCCCTCCTACGTACCTTTCACCCGCTTACACTTGAATGTTAAACTGCAGCTACCAGAGAGCAGGCAGGGAAGGTAAAACAGAAGGACAGTAGGAAAATAGCACTTGATAGAAAATGGTTCATCAGGATGTTACATCACAAATTTCCAGTAATTTGGCCTGGTCTGTAACATTTCTGCACTAGTAACTCAATAGCAGGTAATATCCTCTCCATTTCAAACACACAGCAGCATCTGGGATGCTCTCTATGTCAAATAGCTGTTTAGAGTAATCACCGGCAAGAGGCTGACGAACATTCCTAGGCAAGCATCGCTGGCACTGAGTGCATGCTGTCATGTGGCCGGTACTGTGCAGACTACTCTCAGCAAAAAAATTTGGGACAACAGTGTCAGTATTTTGGAGATGACTCAGATGAAAAAGAACAGAAAAAGCTCTTACCGCATCTTACAGCTGGCTCAAGTGGGCGTTTTTAGAGACAAGATGACCAGAAATCCAAAAATATCTTGCAGTGACAAAATGATCCCTGGTATGATGCAAAACGACCAAGCGGCAGCAGGAAGAAAGTGCTGCTCTCATACAATCTTTCACCTTGAACGTTTTTCCCAAAGGCCGGAGTGACGGACATTCCTCTGTGCCCAGTTAAAAACAGGAGCTTTGACCCATTTGCTTCCACTTTGGGGATTAAAGTAGGACACTATATTGCCTACTGAGTATCCCATGAAAATATAGTATGTGTAAAATTAGAATGAGGGCTTAAACAGCTAGCTAATAGCTAATAATGGAGTTCAGGATCCAATGACCTTTCTTGGGGGAATGAATTCTTCTGAAGCTCTGGTAGAGGCAGCTCTGTGGGAGATAATGGGAATGTTTGGCTTGGTTGAAAACTCTCATGTCTCTCTGGACTCAGAAGGCATCACTGACCACCAATTTAAAGTGAAGCAATGCGACTGAGTGTGTCATGTGGTGTGTCAGGTATTCTTTGCTGTGGCTATGGAGACTAATAAATCTCTACTTTTTGAACATACATTATTTAATTACAATAACCTATAAGCAGCCAACACAAACTATAACAAAATGCAATTGTCGCTCCTCCTTTTAGCCTCTAGTGGCACTCAGCATGATTATTAATGACAGTAACAGATCACGTTAATGAGTCATGCTTGAAACAGGTAGCTGCAAGCATTGTTGAATCCTCTGCAAATGAGTTTGATTGTGTGTGTGCTGGATGAGAATTGGCATCCGATGCACGGTCATTAACTGCACAGTAGTGCAACGATCTTTAATTTCCTTCAAATCTCTTGTGAGTTTGGTGATTTCATTGCCAGAGACGAGACTTTTTGAACATTACAGGCGATGTTTGTGCAATTTTCAGATATATAGATGAACTATTATGATTTAAATTTTTTGGAACTGAATGGAAAGGAGCCGAAGACCACAACAAAACAATCAACAGAAACCAGAGAAAGTTTCACATGTTACACAATCAACTTAACTGGAGCCCCTGTTGCATATTTTATGTAGTCCAAATACATACACCCAACCTAACAACATGGTTGAGATAAAGCTCAGATGTATTTCAAACTGCGCTGATGACTATACAAGAAAGCAGAATATAATCGAGGTTAGATAGTTATTCCATGGCCAGAAAAGAGAAAAAAATACACTGCAGTATATTCAAATGAGCGAGGCTCTAATTGCATGTGCCCAAATGCACGCACAGAATCTAGTTCGGGAAAACTGTTTTACATTCAGCCCACATCTTCAGTAGTTAGGAGTTCTTAGGCAACAGGCAATTAGAGGAGATACCACTGCTCTTATCTGCTGCTGAATCTGAAGGCAGATTCCAGGAGTAATAGCCTGAGAGACAAGCAGCACCTGAGCCTCTGAGACGACAATGAGCAGTATACATCCTGCAAGCAAAATAACGCCAACACCTTTTTAACCGCCAACACCTCATTACAACTAAATTACTAAAAACTAATTTACTGCTTCATATCTACTATGAAACATAAAGGAAGCCAATACATAAGTACACAACAGGTGTTTGTGTAGGCAGGCTTGGCCAACATCCGTTTACAGTTGCCATGATGCTGAAACTACACCACAAAAAAGTTAACAAAACTGAAATAAAAACAGGATGATTTTATGATAATTTAAGATAGAGACATAACTGTTTGTCCAATCCATCCAAAACTGGCTTAAGGTGTTAGTTATAAAGTTTAACACTATTTCTAGACACTAGAAATTAGAGAAGTTAGAGAAAAATAAGATGAGAGGAAGAATTCAAGAGCTTTTCCCCCCAAATGTTAAACTGTTAAATTGTATTGAATTAAATATTTTGAACTGACTGATTTACAGGAACATCTACAAGAGAAACATAATGATAAAAATTCAAGGCTAGTTCACATTAACAGTTCTTTTAGCCTCTTTAGAAATATTTTCAAAATCTGTCAACTGCCCAACGTTTTAAACAGACTTCCTTTCTATCACAAGTATCAAGGAACACTGAATCCTGATCTCCACACACAGCTGCGTGCATCGCATGCATCTCCTATTGTTGCAAGCATGATGTAATTTGTTAATGGTACTTATAATGAATGATTAGACTCCCTGTGCTGCTTCAGAGTTTTTGGTATGCAGACATCAACCGCACATTAAATTTGACACACCATTAATAATTTGGTTCATTTAAAAAAGTGAAGATGATAAATTAAGAAGTCGAAATAGAAAAAAGAAGAACAAAACTTTGCATCTAGGGCTAAGTATTGAAGTGGAAGTCAGAGGTTGCAGGCTCTGTGGACTAAACAAAACTAAGTCCTCAGCTATAGCTATAAAATCCATGTTAATATATTTCACATATTACCAGACAGGGCTTATAACATAAGTGCACCAGTGGTGAATTGCTTTCTTAGTCAGTTTGATTGGCATGAGCTCTGCATGCCATGGAGAAAATACCTGCATGCTGCAGCCATTGAACAGCTTCTCTCAAGCACCAGGCCACTTTACCCCTTACGCCATTAGAATGCTGGAGCAGTTTGATTCATCTTGTAGTCTGCAAATGATAGAAAAAACAGTATTAGCCTTACACTGCTAAAATAGTTGTATTATCATCTTACTACACGGCTCTAAATCAGTTTTCGAGCTAGGAAACTAAAACAGAAACCACACAGTCCATTCTGATTTAGAGCATTTCCCTTTTAGAGTCTAACCTGCAGCCTAAGGCACCTTTCACTGTAATGACGCTGCATAAAAGCTCATTTCAGTGAGCCACTAGGCCAAAACACAGCAATGTGAAGTCATCTACTTTTCCAGAATGCAGTGTATGGCCATCAGGAAAAACGATAGCAAATCAAATGTGCGCAAACATATCACGTAGAATAAGTTGAAGCATGGACCTTGAAGCACTGCACTAATTTTCTGTCTACCTGGTGAGCACCAACAAAGAAGAGAAAGCCATTTCTTTGATTAACTTTCCAGAGGTGTACATTCAGACCTCAAAGGAGTACGAGGACATAAACCACTGTCTTCGCATGTTAAGCCTTCACCTTGGGCTTGTTTATTTGTATTTCATATTTTTACCTGCACCCTGTGGCAAAATACCTGCACTTACAAAACCCCTTTTATTGTTTTTCCATTGTGCTATTGTCAGTGTCAAGGCCTCCAGTGGAGCACTAAACACTAAATGATTAGCAGACAATGTTGCTGCAATCCCTGAACTTTGGAGTGAGAAAAAAACCTCACAAAGAACATAGTACTGTGAAAAAGTATTTGTCCTTTCCTCATTTATTTTCTGCATATTTGTCACACTTATATGCTGCAGATCATCAAACAGCGCCCAAGGATACCACAAGCAGTAGAGTAGCCAGGGATGGTTCTCCTGAACCATAGCCTAAGACTAAGAGGTGAACTTGCTGGTGTGTTTCTGATCACTGTCCTGCTGCATAATCCAAGCGAACTTGAGAATCAGGGCACAAATTGATGGCCAAACATTCGACTTCAGAATTTTGTGTTAGAGAGCAGAAATCATGGATCCATCAATTATGGCAAGTTGCTGTAGGTCATGAAGCAGCACCAGTAGTCCCAATACCACCACTATGTCGACTCTCGGTAAGACATTCTTTTTAAGAAATGTTGTGTTAGTTTCACACCAAATATAACACAATGTAAACTTTCCAAAAAGTTCAACTTTTTGGCTCGTCAGCCAACAAAACATTTTCTCAAAAGTCTTGGAGCTCATCAACATGTGTACTGATAAATGTAAAGCAAACGTTTGAGTTATTTTTGGTCAAGGGTACTTCAGCTTCAGGGTTCTGGGTGTTAAAGTCACTGACTTTATTTCTCTTGAGGTTCTATAGATCATGGCATTAGCCATAGCATTTTATATTTTTAGCCTATTCCACTTTGTTAGACAGGTTCTATGTAACTGATTTGTTGATTCAACAGGTATGGTAGTAATCAAACCTGGGTGTGGCTAATAAAATTGAACCCAGCGTCAAACACATGTGATTAATTACAGTTAAT